ACAAAATCAAAATTAGGCATTCAATACATGAAATATGGAATTTTTGATTTTAGCATGTACACAAAACAATTTGAAATAGGTTTTATTAGATAGAATAATAATAATAACAACAGTAATAATAATTCATCAATGCTTACATTTTTATGTTTAGAAAAGATGCAGAATATGGCGATGGATGTATGTATAATGCTTTATGCACATCGGTTATAAAGCCTTAAAGGTCATCGAATTCTCATCTTTTACTAGTCGGCTTAAAAGAAGTTCTTTCGTTCAGTTTCTTTTTTTTAAATTATTATTATTATTATTGTTGTTGTTGTTGCTAAGAGTTTTATAATAAAATTATTAAAGATTATTTTTAATCAAGTGCAAAATGTAAGATTAATTAAGTAATTCAAATTGAAGTACAAATCTACAGTGTTACTTGTAGGGGATTATTCTAGGGTTTTTGTTTAAAAATCTCAGATAATGTGAATATTAGTAGTCGTTAGTTTAAGTGTACGTAAAAATGGTTAAAGTATTTGTTATGCATGCACGTAAACACATTATTTTTATATGTTTGAACTATTACGAGTTTAGCTTAGTCGGAAAATAAGAGTGAGGATCGAGGATCTGGCGACATGTCAGGCTAGTTTAATTCAAGCGTCCCAAATCCTCATTGAGTAAAAGAAGACTTCGTATGAAGTAGAACATGTATTCTACAAGCATACAGAAAGTACGAGATCTGAGTCCAGAAGAGGGTAAGGATCCTGGTCCGGGTCATAAAACATTACAGATAATGCATATTTATACAGTTAGGTCGGATAGGAAACAACACTGAAGTCCGTGACCAGTAGGAGTTGACCAATAGAATTAGACTTCTAAAAATAATTCTCAATTTGACAGTTAAATCATTGAGAATCATTGTTCATCGAAGAAGTTCCTAATCAATTAATGATTATAATAGAAAGAAAATACTTGAAGACAGTGTGAAGCGAAAAAAATTTTTCTTTTCAACGAACTCATTTACATATAAAAAATAAGACTATTTTATTTTGTAAAATAGGCTATCAATACGAATGTACAGCTTAAGTGAATGATATGATTGAAGAGAAAGTCTCCCTCGATAAATTGTCTTCAGTTCTTTTTTTAAAAGATATCATGGATTACTTTTATTATCTTGAAAAAAAAATTCTACGAATTTCCCCATTGATTATTTGAATAACAATAAACTACTGTTCATGACAGTAATAGAGATAATGTTTGTCACTTAACATTCAATTTGTTAGTAATATATATATATATATATATATATATATATATATATATATATATATACATAATCTTTCAAATTGCTTCGAATTATTAGACTCTAGATATAGTGCACTGAAGAAAATTCGGAGCCAATCAGGATTAAGAAAATAGCTTTTGCATTTTCGCGGTAAATGCAAAAAAGAATACAATTTACGCAGAATAGACTGTAGAAATACCTTTTTTTATAGAGCTCAACATGTTTAAAAACGATAACAAACATTTATTTTTGACATTATAGAGTAAAAATGTTTGAGTTGGACGTATCAAATACCCGTTTCTACTTATTTGATTGTATCACACAAATCAACCCTATCCTTAAATCTTACAACTAAGCCCTTATTATAATCGTAAACATTCAATTCTAACAAATAAACCTTAATCCTAAATATTCTCACCTTAAACTTTAAATCCCTTACCATAAACAATGTGTGGTCTCCTTAAAAGTTTATCTATGTCCTAATAATGGTTTGATAATACACACCCATATGGATGAATCTATGTCTTTTTTTAGAGTTAAAAACAGAACAAATTGCAAAATGCTTCGATAGATTTATTGCTCGCTTAAAATTTGTTCATTACTTCGTAATATAAGTGTTTATTTTTCAAAAACTCTTCATTTTCTGATAGGCTAACAACTGATAAAAACTTGTTACAGTTATTTTAAACTTATTCCTATACCAAAGTCTTAAAATGCAATGCAGATCTTTCCGTTCTGTAGCTGTAAATAGTTTTGCCTCTGAAAGTACCACCATATTTGTTTATAAAGTAAAGTAGTAGTCAGCAATGGGATCCAGAACGCGCATCGCGTCCTTTTACGGACTCGTCAGCTGGATGTACCTGCATCCTAGTAATAACGTCCACCCCAGGACTCGAATTCTGTACTGTTCGTTTGAAAAGCTGTGGTGTTTGTTATACACTGAAATACTGAAGCGTGATAATCACTGTCTTGTGGAGTGGAGAGAAATTTAATTAATGTATAGTGATTTTTTGAATGGTATCTTTGATATTCGTGACTTCAAGTAATCAGTCTGTTTTGGCATATGTTCATCTTGTGCATTTACTTCTCATTGGCTTTTGGGAAACATAATTCTGATTTTTATCCTCTGTTTTCCCATTATCTTAGATGGAGTATAATCACTCCAAGGTCATTCTTAGTCCCAGTCAAGGTCATCATTCAAGTACAATTTTACCGACTCGATTGATTCATGTACCTTGGTGTGCATCCATTCTGTCCCATCTTTTACGTAACTTCTTTATTTCATCCTTTACAGTATCTTATAAACAAACATAGTTGATTTCATCAAACAGAACTTTTAAAAAACATCGTTTATATTAGATTCGATAAAAATTTTGGCAACGCTATGTCTATGTACAGTTTTCAATAGACAGAGGGTTAAGTGGATTTATAAGTATGTCTGAATACAATGTAATCAACCTGATTGAAGTATAGTGCTGTAATATGTGACTAGTCATTATATGTTCCAGTTATTTTTTAATGAAAATGGTATTTTTGATTGTCTTGTTGTAACTGTCAGGATTTCCATTCTTTCATTCACCATTTTAATTATTATGTATAGTACTTTTTATAGATAACATTCCTGGATGTGTTAAAGAAATAATCAATCACTCTGGTTTATGTTCATATTTTGCTAGTTAGTGAATGTTCTGCATCACACACACACGCACACACTTACACTAGCTAAAGGCTAGATAACATTGTCTTTTATAGGTCAGCATACTCTCATAGTCAACCTGAGGTTCAAAGGAAGTTATACCAATCTAATTAAAGTTCTACATTAAAGTATAATCAAACAAATGATAAAATTTAACACTAAACGATGGTTGTACCATATTGTAAAATAACTGAATATAAAGAATGTTGATTATAGGATTTTAACTTAGTGGATATATGATATTACTTATGATATAGTCAGTTAGTTGTATTGCCAAAATTGTTCTCCCTGTTTCTTTTTTTAGATAACGAAATGATCTAGTACTAACCAAGCCAATACTCATGGAACGAATCAATGATAGGTAACCAGCGATAGGCTTTTCCATAAGTGTGTATCAATATAACTACTGTTGTGGAGTTAGTTCCATAGGCCATTTTATGAGGCCTACATCCTTGCATGTTCGTGAACATGTACCAGAATAGATGAGAAACGGAGTGACGAAATCGATTAACAGTGTCATCCTTTCTCACTTAGGTAGATAGTGAACATCATATCCAAGTAGATGAAGCTTTATCTATTTTACATCAAGTTCCGAACATTCTATCTAAAAGAAGTTAGGTTACGACTCCTCTGCAGAACCGAAGCTATCTGGATCAACACCAGAAAACCTAAGTTATGTATTCACAAGAAATATATTCAGCTTCTGTGTCTACTTTGGTTGATGACAGGATCACTAGAGACTTAGGCTGGATATCATGAACATTTAAATCTCCGTTCATTTCCTTCGAGTGTTTGCATTTTTCTTGATCCACATTTTCATCATTCCCCATTCACATGAATTTTTGTTTTTTAGTTTTAGTTTTAATCATATTTTCTCTGAGTATTTGGTTCAAATTACATATTATAGTCACACAATATTATTACCGTCATCTCGTATGTCATTACTAAATTACTCTTACTATTCATCTTTTTATTCACACTACTTATTATACTATTATTATATTGATTGAAATTATGAATCGATCTGTGTTAGACCAGCATTCGAAACCTGGAAGCATTGGACGGCTGTTTCGTTCTAGAATAGGACTTATCAGCATGGCTTATCCACGACCCACGCTCTTGGGAATTGAACTCAGGACCTTCGGTCTCACACGCGAACACTCTCCTTAGAACAATGATTGATTCATGATTTCAATGAAACCTAACAATCTCCACAACCCTTTAATGAATGTTATATTGATTGCAACTTGATACTTTACTTTGAATCTTTCCAACCTTCGTTTATTAAATGACCTTTCTAATGTATATATAACTCAATCCTGAAGCATTTATACCGTACTGGTTACAAAATCCGATGTTTTTTTTGAACGTAAAACATAGTCTTATTCATTAAAGCATGCCTTGTTTTGGCCTTTGAAAAATAACACAATAATTGTGAACTTATAACTATACAACCGAATCGTCTGCTCAAATATTCTTCGATCATTGACAGTATTGTCTTTATATTTGATCATCAACGTCAGTGTCCCCTAAATAAAATATTCTTTGGGCAATTCATTCAATCAGGTTGCAGATCAAGGTTAATGCCGAATCTTTCTGCTTCATGATAGTCTTATTCGGCTTTAGTTCATAATGGTTTTCTTCTATTTCCTACATGTTAACATTGAAACTTCTTGCTGACTAATTGACTATTAATCAGACAAGCTGATTTCATCTGTTCTATATTCAAATCATTCATTTACTATACCTTGTGAGTGAGTGAGCGTTGACCGAAAAAAATTACTTAACTCTACTACTACTACTACTACTACTATTAATACCATGTTCAACCACATCTTCAAGATATATCTATATTTTAAAGAGAGAAAAAAATAATGTAAACAATACAATTATTCAAGATGAATTATTAAATTCCTTTTTTACTCAAAATTTCGCGGAAAAAAAACCATTATCTATACAAAGAACAAAAAATTGAAATATTGAACACAGTAAAAAAAAAAAACGGACACGCTTGTTTTCTTTTTATTATTATTATCATTATTATTATTATTATGATTATTAAGAAAGACTGAAGGATAAGTGATGTTTACATTAGAATCTGAAGGATTTCTAACAATTGCCTACTTATTAAATATACAGTCAATTGTCAAATCCCCTGAAATAATGTTTAAAAATTGTTTGTAAGATGACTACTTACAAATATATATATATATATACTGACTGTAAATAAAAATTCATTTGTAACAACTTAACCAACAGAAATAAAAAAACAAACAAATAAATAAATAGATTTAATGCAAAATTTCTGGAGGTGAACTGATATTAGCTTGTTTTAAATTCGGTTTAACCAAAGTAACAGTCAGTAAGGCGGGTACAGTTTGATCAGATGAATCAAATTGTTTAGCTCCAACTGCATTTGCAGATATTTGACATTGAATATCTTCTGACAAATCATTCAACAGGCGAACTGTTAATTTACCAAATTTCCATGGTTTTCTTAATAGAGCTAAACGTACAGTGTTTGGTAGACAACGTTCAAGTTGTCCAACTGATACAGTTAAACAAAATAAATGATTTGTTAAATTTTGTTTTATCATAGTTCTAGTATAGTCATAAGAGCATATGGCGGATGGTGAGTCAGTTATTTCACTAGCTTTACAATTCTTTCTATCAGCAGTTTCCAATAATTGTTTTACCACAGTATCGATAACTTCGCCAACTGTTGTACGCATATTAATTAGCAGGCGTACTGATACTCCAGGATTTAATCCAGTTGGATAATCTGCATAAACTTGTATGATTGAATTTCTACCACTATGTCTTGGTTCAGTTGGTGAACAAGGTAGTGTACTTCGGTTTGTTCGTTCAGCAATTGCTGCACTATCTAATAAATCACTATGTACAGATGATGATCTGGGTTTTGTAATTTTTTCACTATTGATACTAGTAGATCCATCATTTTGTAGTAAAACATTGAAATTGACTGTATTATCAACATCATCATCATCAGTTAAAGAATCAAGTTTTGATTTTATTAAATATGGTTTTAAAATTATATTATATTCATTAATAATTTGTTCTAATGTAATATGATAATTATATAACTTTTTACGATCACGTCCAATTGTTATAGTTTCACTTAACCATCTTCTTGCTTGATATATATTTTCTAAATTTGTTTGAATCATTTGTAATGTTTGTGTACGTTCAGATATTTGTATTAAATCTGTTTCAGTTAAACATTGTCTTTGAGCAAATTGTGATAATGGAATGATTAATTCTAAAAATGCAATTAAATGTTGAATACGTTTATGAAATAATGGATCATAAGTAAAATTTAAATGTCTTTCAAAATAAGTCATTGAAATCCATGAACAATTTGGTGGTGGCAGGATAGTTGAAGTTGGCGGTAAACAAATTTGTTCAATTGATGGCAACAACAGAATAAATGTATGTAATGGAGAAATTCTAATAATTTCTGGTAAAAATATACGTAACATTTTCATATCATTAATACTATAACATAAACGATTTGATAATTTAAATATTGATTTAATTAATTGGACAATAAATCGTTTTTCAGCATATTTTAAACTAATAAAATTATCCTCAAGCTTTTCATCGGTTTTTTCAATTAATCTACACAAACTATACCATTCATCATGACTGACATGAGATCGTGTACGAATTTTCTCAGCTGGTAACATATGTAAGCTAGATGGTGTATTAGAAATTAATATAGCGGCTTGTTGATCCATATGGGCTTTCATTTGTACTAGAACAACATATAAGCCTGGATCAAGAATCCGTGTATGCTTTTCGGAATAATTCAGTAGTATGTCTAAATTAACAATAAGTTGTGATTCCAGTGATACAAACACTTGATTACCTCGTGTTGTTAATAAATGTGAATATAATGTTGGCAATAAAAGATTTTTTGTCATATTTGTCATAATACTATAATTTAAATATTCCATATTCGAGTGTATTGTAAAGAATTTGTTCAATTTAATTTTATTTTGTCTTAAAAATTTATCAAAATTACACCATCTAAGATTATTAGTCAATAGAATCTCTTTAGGATTTGTAATTTTTTTCAATAATATAAACATAAATGATGATGTCGGTTTTAAATTACTCTCATAACTACTTGTAGTTGTAATGGAATCATTTGTTTCTGTGGATAATTTCGGTGAAGACAATTGTTCTTGCATATCAATGTTGTCATTTTTCACTGGTTTATTCAGATTAATCAAAGTGGGATCAATCGATCGAACACGTATTATTTCTGGATAAACAATGCCAAGATTTGATAGGCCAAATAATAATTTTAATCGTTGTAAAATTTCTAATAATCGTACACGTAGTTGTAAATTTGTCGGTAACGATGTATTCGGTATGTCATCATATAGAAATTGTAAATCCATGTCCAAAAATGAATCGGATACAATACGAGCGAACCAATTGAAATCGGAGTTTAACATTGACTCATTGGTATAATCATCACGTGAAATATTCAATATCGGGATGGAATCATCGGCTAGCAGAATTTTCGATTGATATTTACATTTTTCAGATTCATTAATAATACTACTGCTACTACTACTACTAGTAGTAGTTATTGGTGTATGATAGATGATAGCTAGATAAATGCCAGATTTAGTTTGTTTAATAAATTTTAAACCTTTATTGCTAAAAGGAAATCTAAACGAACGTTTTCTTTGTAACAATGGTGATCGTGTTCGTTTGCCTGTTTCATCGACAATATTTACTGGAATACCAGATGTACTACTACTAGCAGCAGTAGTAGAAGTAGTGGTATTAGAGCTAATTGTTGAATTTGTTGTCCATGCACGAAGTTGTTGAAATAAATCATTTTTCAATGTATCAATCTCTTTGTCTAAAGCACAACCAACATATTTTGTGTAGGGTAATAGGGAATTTTCCCGTTGAACTATTGTAGTTCGATAGTGTTCACATATTTTATTATTAATCCATGATGATAAGATTATACCGTTAGGATTAGCATAACATGGTTCAGACCATCCTTGTATAGAAAATGCATAGACACGAATAAATATCATTTTATTTTCAGGTAGATTATTTAAAAAATAAAATCCAACACGTATCATATTCAATGGATTTTGTTTTGTTGAATTTATTAAATCCGGTTTTACGATACGTGTTGGCGGTTGAACTAAACAATGACATACTTCAGAGTTAGAAAATTTTGGACATGTAGACCATTCTATACAATAACGTAGAATAAAATTAATTGTAGGAATATTATGTACACCATTAATTTTACGTCCTTCATTCATTGAATCTTGAATCTTGAATTCATTATCAGTTGATTCACATGAACTCTCATCTAAATCAATATCATGATGATTATCATCAGTTGTATTGTTGATAGAATTTTCACCGCCATAATAATTATTGCTTTCATTTGATTTCTCACATTTTGGTGGACTTATTCGAATTAATATCGAATTGAAAGAGTTTAAAAATATATTGACTTTATTTGGTGGTTTAGTGTATTTTGGAAATTTATTATAATTTTGAATAAGTTTAGTTAAATAGTCATATTCATCATGGATTAATTGTAATTCTTTTTCTTTCATAGAAATTTCTGCAAATATTGCTGTGTTATTATTATTATTATTATTATTATTATTATTATTGGTATTTAGTTGTTCATCTTGTAGTGAATTATCAGTGTCTTTCGAATTTTCACTTGTACTCAATTGATTAGCACGTGTAATGGCATTGTTTGTTTCAATTTTACATTTAGTCAATTGAATTTCTTTTTCATCTAATAAATTTTCTAAATATTTACCCAATCCATTGATTTTATTCTGTTGTGTAGTAGTAGTAGTAGCAGTAGCAATAGCATATTGTGGATTTGAATTTAAACTTGATTGAACTATTGGACCTGGTAAAAATTTACAAACTAATAAACACGAGATAAGTGGTAATGATGCGGTGAGATGAGCACTATCTAATGCAGTCAATCCAAATTCATTAGTAGCTTCTTGTATTTGTTTTAAATTCTTTTCATCCAACTTTTGATATTGTTCAAATAGTTTGAGGAATCGATCATAATCATTGTGTTTAATAAGAGAGAAAAGATTTTCACTGAATTGTTTCATATGATCATCTTCATCTTCAGAAATGAATGATGTGTTTGTTTTGTAATTTTTTGATGGAAGTAATAAATCACCCGCTGTGGAACTAGATGAAATGATACTTTGATCATCATGTGATATTGATAGTTGATCATTTGAATAAGTAATACTTGAATTATTTCGACGTAATTTTTTCACCACTGAATATCGACTAGATTTAATAGCAGCAGTGTTATGAGGTAGTGTAGAAGTGAAATTACGATTGAATAAAATTTTAGCAACATAATTATTAGTATTTGGAAGAGGAATAGTTTCATTGACATTATTCATATGAATAGGTTCAGTGATTTCTTGAACTTGATTCGAATAATCTTGTGCATTGATAAATTGATATTTATAAGTATTAGCTTTATGTACAAGTTGTTCATAATATTCTGTAATATTTATCATTTCACATGGATTATCAGTATTGGTCGGAGTTTGTGGTGATATGTCTGAACGAAGTCGAGGATTTTTATCTATCCAATTTTTGACTAAACCAGTACGTGTTTTATTTTCTAATGAAGGTTGTTGTGTTGTTGGCATTTCTTTTGAATTAATATCAGAATTACGATGTACACTAGATGAACGACCTCTTACACTGTTCTCATCTTTATGTAATTCTTGAAAATGTCTTGACATGTAAGCACTACTTTTTGAACGTTTCAATTTACCTTTTGCTGCTCTTGCCACTGCTCTAGCACGCATTTTTGCAACTCTTGATTTACCTGATACTTTATTACTAGTAGTAGTAGTTGAATCTGGAATTGGTTCTGTATTACAATCACTAGAAATAGACGGATGGGATTCTTTCAGTTCAGATGGGAAACGTAATGATTTAGTACTTTCAAATTTTCGACATTTCGATGAATGATTGATTTTTTCAACATTCAATGCGTTTTTTGAAAATGTAACTAATGAACAAACATCACTTTTTACACTTGTATTATCTGATGGTACTTGAACATTACTCAAACTATAACCATGAGATAAACAATGAGGAATAATGTTTTCATTGACAGGACTATTCAAATGATTTGTTTCAAGATCTAAGAATTTGTATTTATCTAAATTACCAATTGATAAATGTTCTGTACATGGTAGTTTTATACATTCACTTGAACGTTTATCATTCACTGTCAATGAAGGAAAATTGACATGATCAATGTTATATTCACTACTACCGCCTTCGTCACCATCATCCAAATCATTCACATCATTAGTTTGAAGCAATTTTCCATGTGTACACCTTCTTGATGATGTTGACAATTCATCTTGACAGGGATCTATAGATTTTTCGTGACATTTTGTAAAAATCATTGTATTATTATTATTATTATTATTGCGATTGTCATCATCACTAGTCTTGTCTACATTTGAATGTTTATCCTCTAATCCAATAGTTTGTTTATCTGTAGTTAATTTAAAAAATGGCGGATCATTTGTAAATGCTGGCATTGTATCAGAACGATGAAATCGTTTACGTTTATCAGTAAGAAAATTCAATGCAGTTGTTAACATGATAAATAGTATTGTAAAGTTTTTAATTAATAAATAAATATCCTTCTCTCTCTTTCTAATGACAATTAATGTTCATGTTCATATTCCAGTGATTATTGATTTTTTTTCTCTCTAAAAATCAAATCAGAAAAAAAAGTGATTGGAAAGATTCATAGTGAGTGGATCAAATAGAATTAATATTTACAAGTGAATATAAATGTGAATTTTTGTAAATTAAACAAAACATTTAATAATCTGACTGGAAATTAAGTTACTTGTTTCACGGGACAAACGAATAGCAATTGAATAACGATTTCAACAAACAAAATTAAATACAAATTTGGATTAAGCATAAATGTGTTATAGATTCAAGTTGTTTTACCAGGGGGGGGGGTCGCTTATTGACTTAGAATATGCCGATGACATAGTTCTATTTGGTGAAGACGCTGACAAAATGCAGAGTCTCGATTGGTTTTTGCCAACCTGCGTCACTTATAGCATAGGTGAGATATCCGCTTGTTAACCAAAGGATGATTGTACTGTGCAGCAGTTCGCTCCGTCTTACTTTATGGCTGTGAAACATGGCCAGTGAGAGTAGAAGACATTCGTAGGTTACTGGTTTTCGATCATAGGTGTCTTAGAAGCATCGCTCGTATATCATGGGACACCCGAGTGAGCAACGCTGTTATTAAGAAACGGGTGGTAGGTAAGAATGGCAGATCAATAGATGAAGTGCTGAAACTTCATCACTTGAGGTGGTTGGGACATTTGCTGCGTATGCCTAACTACCGACTGCCGCTATGAGCGATGTTTTGTTGTGTAGAATTAGGTTAGAAGAAATCTCGGGGCGGTCAGATCAAAACATGGCACAAATCCATGAAGTCGCTAACAAGTGGACTGAGTTATGTTGGTATATGTAGGCAACGTGGTTGGGGTCGGCAAGACGAAAGTAACCGATGTTTAGAGACCCTGAATGACATGGCTCAAAACCATTTGCAATGGCGCCGGTGCATTTATTCTTTGTGTTCTCTTAAATCCTAATCTTCTGGATTCTTTAAAACTTCTAGTTTTGACTTTCTAAACTTATCTCACTGAATCATACTTGTTGAATAATACCTTCTAATCCTAACCTCTCCGATTACTTCTAATACCCTTACTACCTCTTCTACTATTGCATTTGAATTGACAATTACATCTCTGTGTCGATGTGTTATGGCAACATGAATTGATATACTTATGTACGAAGTTTTATGTTGCATCTGACTGACTGACTGATTCAAGTTGTTACATTTAATTTAAGTACAATGAAGAAAGATAATCAATAAAATAGAAATGGTCCCACGGGGAGATATCATTATAGGCCAAAGAAAATCCTAACTACTCTACAGATGAACATATGTATGAAAAAAGAAACTGAAATAATGATTTGTGTAGGTGTTGAGAGTTTCTCAGTTTATATAGGGGAAATGGTCAAACTCGTCTTAAAATAACAATTTGTTTTAGAAAGAAGAGAAATAAATCGGAAACTTTTTTTGAATTGTTACCATAAAGATTTTTTGCATTAGAAATATGTCATTTGCACATCTCATGAAAGAGACACGACCCTGGTACTCATTATAATCAAGGGTAATAAATAAAAATCGACACTTCACTCTCAATGACGATAGTGATTTATTGAAAATTGACCAAGTTTGGGATTGTAATACTCACTTACAGATTCAGTGATTTCGCAGCGGTTATTAGGTTTGATTGAGTAAAGTTTTATGTGCATTACGGGGTTGTGAAGATTGTAAAGTTACACATTTTTGAAACCATGAATCGATCATTGTTAGACCACCATTAGAAACCTGGAAGCACTGAAAGACGGCCGTTTTGTCTTGGTATGGGACTCATCAGCAGTGCGCATCCACGACTCCTGCACCCCGCAGGGTCCGAACCCAGGACCTTCGGTATTGTAGGCGAACGCTAACCATCGGACCACTGAGCCGGTATCTAACGGTGTTAATGTCAATTCACGTAGTTGCGCAACCTCATACACAGTCTTCAGTAGTTACTGTCTACACCCGAACAGGTTGAACTTCACTAGTCACGTCTTCCCACTAGAACTCGGTTCATCGTTTCAAAAAATGTGTAACTTAACAATCTTCATAAGCCCGTAACGTAAAGTTTTATGTATCCAAAATTTTTTTTTGCTCTTTAATTGTTAATAGTTCTTAGTTGACATGAATTAATCATAAGGAAAACCACAACTTAAAGTGTTTCCTTATATTAAAAACCACAAAAATTGAATGTTGGCAAGCATACAACGAAATTTCTCAGAATCAAATATAGTTTTACATGACAGATAAATTTTATCTGAAAAAAATGAAAATTATATTTCGCACAAACTGATAAAACTTAACAGAAATAAATGGATTTTGTAATCCAATAAAATGTTTTTCTTTTATCGAACAAATCAGATAATGTTTTTGTTATATGCTTGAATTTTTCAAGTGTTATCATTAAATCTACACATTGAATTCATAATTTAGAAAAACACTATACAATGATAAAAATTATGTCGGAACTGAATTTAACATTTACAAAATGCTTGTATAAAATACTATCAAAATTAATTTATACATATATATATATATATATATATATATATATATATATATATATTTATGGTGAGAATGTTGAGTTTCTTATTCAATAGTTTTATAGTTTTGTAAGTGATTATAAGTCATGTTTAATATGTGATGATTGTTTAAGTTTCGAAGGTTGTTTCTATCATAAACAACCATCGCCATTTTTGAGTAATGGGAGTAAATATAAAAAACACATTCTAATTAACCATAAGACTATTGAATGTTGTAAATCAGAATTCGATAGATAAAACTTTTATTCTTGATTATTTCTGTGGTTTTAATACAGCCATCATTTGAATTCACCGGTAATCATTAAATCGGTTACAACTTTAGATTAAAATGTTAAACATCTACCTTAAAGCAGAAATGAGAAACCATAGTTAATAAACTTATATATATATATATATTTGAAACCATGAAACACCGGACAACAGTCTCGTTCAGGTATGGGACTCATCAGAAGTGCGCATCCAAGACTCCTGCAACTTTTGGAATTTGAACGCAAGTCCTTCCATCTTGTGCGCCAAAGCTTAACCTCTGAACCACTAAGCCAGACGTCAATGTCTAATTCTGATCAGACTAAGAATTTTGTCTTCAGTAGTTACTGAAAACACTTAACAGGACTGAATCCCATTGGTCACGTCAACTGATCGAAATCAAATTATAAATTTTCGACCGAATCGAAAAACATCAGGTAGGACTTAGAACTTATGCCTTTAACGTTGAAAATGGATAGTATGAAACACTTAATTTTCTACAAAGTGAAGATATTGTTGTATTGCAATTAAGACAAATGGATAACACCGAAATTGTAATTGTAATTTTTTGGTGTTTTAATAAACTCTGGAAATTCATTGGTTTTCCCTAATTAAAGATTCCGATTGTAAAAATTAGAACAACACCTGAGCGAACAATATTGCTTTCGGTTAGATTGTCATCAGAGTTTACTACCAGGCAACTTGACCACTGAATGAGTGAACACCGCCCAGCATGGTTTATGAATGGCCAGTTAAAAATAATACACAGTTTTCTATCTTAGCACATCCAGTTGATAGTGGTCGTATTGTAGATAAGTCTAGATTTTTTCGGGTGATCTATCGTATACCTTCATCATTTCCCAACGAAGTTCGATCCCGTCTCCTACACATAGCAGAAGCCATAGGAATTCGTACATTCAACCCCAATATATGTGTTCAGAAGTAATTCGTGACACCCCTATCTCTTCCGTGGCCTGATATGACGTAACTAACGTTATTATTAGCATTAGTTTCGCATTCTGTATTTGTTGGTAATTCTCTGCCTCTTTCCGTTTATATTCTTCACTATCTAATTATGTACACATTGCTTATTACGTAATGGTTTTAATGTTTTCTAATGATTATTTTAAGTCCATTTATCCTCGTTTGACCTTTATTTTTCTTACTACTATCAGTACACCTGTCTTCCTACTATCAACTTGTGCTTTTGCCTATTTATGTGTGGTGACGCAATCTATATTTCATTTCATTGTGATTATTGACTGGAAGTGCCTTGATTGGTTTAACATTTTCATATGAAATATTCATGTATAATAGAGAGTAAAGCCTGATGACGATCTAATCAGACACAACACTATATGTGTTGTTCTAATTTTTCCTAATTTTAGTGGCCATATCAAATTCACTTGTAATTTTTGAGGTTCGTTTTTGAAAAAGGAAAATCCATTAGAATTCCCAATTCATGTACAATACTTTGTTTCTTATACTTGAACTAACATTGAAGATGAAGCTTTGTTTACATGATTTGTCCTTCTACTCTAAAGTGTTTCGGATTGTAGAGTAATAAATATTGTCGAAAAGTTAGCGTCTTAAATAGGTGGTGTATTGTTGGACCTAACAAAAATTTGGTGAATACTTTATATGTCATCAGCCAAACTTAATTCAGATAGTTTAAATGTAGCTTCTAATCAAATCAGGACGAAACCGCCATTCAAGGCTTCTAAGTTTCTAATGGTGGTCCAACGTTGATCAATGCATGATGACAATAAAGTAATTCAACTATCCGCGAATTCAAATGTGCTCACTAATGACTAGCTCCGTGATGAAGTGAGAAGTCATGACCATTGGAGATCAGCCTTGTTCGGGTGTGAAGCAGTGCTCACCAAAGACAGTGGATTGATCGAAGTTACACACTGACACCGGCTCAGCGGTCAGAAGTTAGACCTTCATGCTGAAGACCGAAGATTTTGGGTTCGAATACTGCGAGTAACAGGAGTCGTGGATGCACACTGCTGATAAGTAGTCCCACACTATAAGACAAAAAGGTCAACCAGTGTTTCCAGGTCTTCGATGGTGGTCTAACATTGATCGATACATGATTACAATTGCAATTACAATTCAAGAATCTCTACAG